TTTCATTCAGTTCAATCGCTCCATCACTACCAAAAAATTTGGTATTCAATGTCGGATAAAGTATATGGATACTCCGAGCGCGAATACATGGAAATGTTTCGCACACAGTTTCTCTCGTGAATTTACTTTACTGTTAATAAAATGAAAATACACTGATAAACTTACTTCGGCAGCCACAATTAAATCTTCTGTTGTTATTTTGATTTTGACATTACACCGAATACGTCATATCACGTTTATGTCACGTTGATTAAGTTTAAACTTTATATTTTACTTCAAAACTTATATTTCTTGTATTATTATGAAAAAAAATGAATGTATGTTCGCAATATATAAATTTTATCGCTATTTATTGCATGATAGTCTTTTTTGACAAAAATAGTGAAAAATAAATTTTAAAATAAGTTTACTTTAACTTCACTTTGCTTTTTATGAAATGACTAAGATAATCAATCGGGTTTATGCTAATCCATAAGAAAATAAGCTTAATGATAAATTAAACATATCAATTATACCTATTACCTATAGGTATATAGCAATTAGAAACGCCATACCATTTAACTTAACTAAACGATCATACAAAGTACGAAAGATATTTAAAAATATTTCGTGTTAACTAAACTAGAAGAGAATATTGTTATGTAGAAATTGCACAATGTTTTTCGTACATTCTCATACATAACATTTATTGATAACCTATTCAAAATGATATCAACAATACCCATCCTATAAATAACATATCATTAGTTAAGTTATTAATGCTTATTAATCTTTCCAATTAATGGCTATAAAAATATTCAATTTTTATAAGATATAATAAAAAAAACGTATCTTTGAATGCATATAATATTTTCCGGAATATATAGATATATGTAGTGTAAAATGATAATGTCGACGGTGTATATCGTTAATGAATTTAATCTGTTATACCTACTTGATATATATATGTGGTACTGATTTGAATAATATCAGGTAGGCTTGTTGCCATTGGTAACTTCGTATATAGCGCTTATTTGAAGTTAAATTCTTTCATTTTTACACTTTGTGGGACTATAAAATAATGCAAAAAGTATAATTTTAAAAGGTAAATAAAAAATTTTTAAAAGACTAATGAAATTTAAACGATTAATTCTAATGACATTTTAAGTATAGATGAAATTGATTCTTACGTTCACTCAGTTGTTTGTTTGAATTTTTACTGCAAGTGTTCCACAATTTCGTCGCATATAAAGTTTCAGTGTTATAGTTGTAAATATAAATGATTTATAATGATCTCAGATCAGTGTGGTGTGTGTCATATCGATGTTGTTCGAGGTTCTGTAAGGCTAACAGCTTCTTTGAATTTTGGAGGTTCATGACCAGTTGAAAAATAATTTTTTTCCCAAATTTACAGATGTTCTTCTTTCATACTTGCAGCACTTATCCCCAGACAGCTAATGAATTAGTAAAAATGCAAAATGCAAAGCAAAATTATGAGATCATCCAGAACACATTACATATCACTAGATTTTATTTCGGCTTAAGTAAAAATAATAAACATAAATCAAAGAATTGAGCGAAAAATGAGTTCTGAATCATAACGACGAAATTATTTGCAACAACATCCAGGAAAAATGCAGAATTCAAATAAACACGAGAAATTGCCAAAAATTTCTATCCAGTGAGAAAATAGGATGAACTTAAATAAATACAATTCAACGAAATAAATAACATTGGGCCACAAAAATTACTACACAGATTAATCTTCGTGATTGCTCTCTCTGACTAAAATTTCTTTTTGTTGCTAATTCTCTTCACTCTAATTCATTCACTATTCAGAGTAGGGAAATTGTTTCTCATTACTAATGTCAGAAATAAACTGCGAGATCAAATAAGTCAATCTATTTGATTTATCAAGTGGTGAGTCCACTTCGCTCGCTAATAAGTTACCCTGAGATTCACCAAGAATCAACACTAAACCCTTTTCATCAAATTCACAAGTCAGATTTTAGATGGTTATTATTTCCATCCCTTATCTTATGTCAGTATTATCACGTTGAAATTAGCACATACTACACCACCAAAGATGAACATCCTGTGATCCTATTAAAAATGGTGACATTTTCCATGCTATTTGTTGGCATCAGATAAAACTTCACGTATCAAATTTTCCAGTTGCAGAACAAAATTATCCATCGCAAAAACGGATTCAACTCTTTTGCGACCAGCGCTACCCATAGCTTCAGCCTTACGTTTGTCTTTGATAAGTTCTGCCATCTTTTCTGCAAATGAATCCGGGTTTTCATTTACCAAAAATCCAGTCTCTTCATTAACAATAGTTTCGCGCGGTCCACCGCTATTTGGTGCAATCACACAGCATTTCATATACATCGCTTCTACGGGTACANGAATGATTAGTTTCATGCTGCAAAAGAGTTGATTAAATCGAAATTGATCCAGCTCAATGAATTTGATTTGGAGTGCTTTTTAGGTTTACTTCAGGAAAAGATTCCAAAAGATGATTATCAGTACTGTTTTCTTGTTATTGCTGGTGGTTACGATATCATGAATGTCGAGAATATTGCACATTTCAATGAATTACAGGAGAATGCAATTTTACTGGGCTTGCCCAGAGAGCAGTATGTGTTTCTGAAGTCACCAAGTATGTTGTCAGCAATTTGTTTTCTTGTGAAAATAGTATGAAATTCAGTTTTTTTACTGTTTCTTATGCCGAAAATCTGATTCGTTGATAGAATCATTCAAAATATTATTTCAGCCGACGAAGAGAAGCTCGAATTATTGAGGCGTGCGATAGCAGTACTATACACGCCAAGCAATGAACACTTTGGGATTGTACCCGTAGAAGCGATGTATATGAAATGCTGTGTGATTGCACCAAATAGCGGTGGACCGCGCGAAACTATTGTTAATGAAGAGACTGGATTTTTGGTAAATGAAAACCCGGATTCATTTGCAGAAAAGATGGCAGAACTTATCAAAGACAAACGTAAGGCTGAAGCTATGGGTAGCGCTGGTCGCAAAAGAGTTGAATCCGTTTTTGCGATGGATAATTTTGTTCTGCAACTGGAAAATTTGATACGTGAAGTTTTTTTTATCTGATGCCAACAAATAGCATGAAAAATGTCACCATTTTTAATAGGATGTTTTGTTTTAATCATGGTCATCCAAAATATTAGAAATCAATCAATTCACATTACTAGCAAGGAGGGTGTCATTGAAAAATGAGAATTCGTGTTATTCCGGTAGGTCTCGTTTAAAAAAAAATTACATTTAAACGAATTGTTTTGCACCTAAAATCTAAAATCGTCCCGACGAACATTCTTTTGAATACGGAATAAGTATATACTTATTCAAAAAACAAAAAACAATGGAGAAAGAGGAGAGAAGAAGAGAGATGAAAAAGAGGAATGAGAAAAGATAAAGGGAAAAAGAAATTCACAATTTCATTTTAATTGAAAATAATATCATCATACTAAGAAATTATTGCTTTTGTTACATCCAATTTGCCAATTTTTACCCTCTCTCTCTCCCTCTCTCCCTCTCTCTACCTCTCTCTCCCTCGCTCTCTCTCTCCTTCTCTTTTCCCTTTTCTATCTCTTCATTTTTTTTTGAATTATTAGCAATGTCTTCCTAATAGCTATTGCAATCTGTTCCAGGTAAGGATCGTTGAGTTTTCCCTTCTTTTTCTCATCTAGCGGTATGATTGGATGAAACTACGACGATGTGTCGTAAACCATCTCCATAAAACACGTCCCGATAACCCGTAGATTCAGTGTTTCTATTGTAATGATTACATCGTTTTTTCTTTTTTTGGTAATTCATACCATTTTAAATTTCTTCCTCTACCATAACATTTATTATGTTCAATTAGAGGGACGAAATAGTGAGTGTATAGTACGTATATATATGTGTATCTATGTCTGTTACGAAAGGTGAAAATGATTGAGGAAAAGTTATGTATGAAGTCAATTATGATAGCATTGAGAATTGTAAATTCAACGAGCGTATACCAAAGTGAAGTGTAATTAAGTGTTTTCGAAATTTTTTCCTCAAATTTATGGTTTAATTCTGTTGAATTTCAGAGAATTCTAAAATTTTGCGATTTTACTATTTTTTACCTATTGAATGTGTATTAGTTTATTTATATGATACGCCAAGAAAATGAGATTATCGATGAGATTACCGATAAAATGAGATCTAGATACAATTATCGGCTATAAGTAATAAAGTTTTATGATGTATTGCTAATAGTTCCAAGTATTCTCATTTAAAAATTAATTAATAATTTTGCTGACAAGGATATGATGATATTAATGTGTTAAATGTCTGTTTTACACCTGTCGATTCTTTTACCCGTAGTGCTACTTTTCAGGTATTTCTGCTTTCCTACAAATAGTATTCTTGGAAAATACATTGCATTTTCTCGTCTCTCTTTTACCTTCTCCTTTTTTTTTCTCTCTCTCTCCTTCTTCCTCTCTCTTTCTCTCTCTATACAAGATTTGTATCGATTTATGTCTGTTTGTCCAATGTATAGCGTGTTGGATGTTAAATGGTTTCTGGGATTTTCTTGACAATTCTAAAATAATCTGCCTGATTTTTGATCATAATTACTCATTTTTTTATTTCGGGATTCTGATGAGAAACTTCGTGCCATTTTGGTGATTTTTTCCATATGTTACTTTACGATAGTTTCTTCTCTTTCCATTACTGTAAAAGACATCGTACAACAGTTGATGTCCCCACATACAACAGTGATGTCCCCACATACAATAGTTGATGTTTTGAAATAGAATGGAATTATTAGTCTGTCGTGTAGGCATTCCTATCTTACTGTCCTGATTTTTCCGGTATGTAGGGCAGTCAAAAGTTCATTTGATGAAGGAAATGAATCGACAGCTGTAGAATACAAGACCTCCTAATGTAAGACCCTTATTGAGCTATTCAGCAATGTCCAATCTTCTTTCTGACTAAGCCAGCAGTTGTTCTTTCCGATTATTTTCGTCAGATCTGGTCTATTTGATATTATTTATTAATAAGTAGATATTTATAAGTCAACAGATCATTAACTTTTGTACATTTGGTGTATTTTGTATGATATTTATATATTATTTTAAATAAATGAATTCCAGAAAGAAATGACACTTGCTGAAAGCAAAGCGTTTATTGGCCAGCCAGCCCCTAATTTTAAAACAACAGCAGTTGTGAATGGCGTTTTTAAGGAGATTTCACTTAATCAGTTTAAAGGGAAATATGTGGTCCTCTTCTTCTATCCGCTCGATTTGTATGTTCCACTCTTTTTTGTAATCATAATTGGAAATGATTTTAGAATCAAAATGAGCAAGATAATGTGATTATTTTTCAAAGATATTTTTATATTACTTCCAAAATAAAAAGGAACTTTTATCATATACTTGTTATTTTTCAGTACTTTCGTTTGTCCAACGGAAATAATTGCATTTTCCGATCGTATTGCGGAATTCAAGCAGTTGGATGTGGTTGTTATGGCATGCTCAACTGACTCGCACTTCTCACACCTTGCATGGGTAAATACCGAACGAAAAATGGGTGGTCTTGGTCAGATGAATATACCAATTCTTGCTGATACAAATCATGCAATCAGCAGGGCATATGGTGTGCTCAAGGAAGATGAAGGAATTGCTTATCGGTATGTGTAGATGTTATAGATACATTATTTAATATGCTAAAAGTGAGATCGACAGAGGCAACTCAACATTTGACCAATATGGCTTGTTGAGATCTATCGTACTTCATCGTATTGTAGTTCGGTTGAATAAAATTATCACAGTTCATTGAGATTAACGCTTGGAAATGATGCCTATAAATGATATCAATGAAGTGAGCGTATTTCAGTGGGTTATTCATCATTGACCAAAACGGGATTTTACGGCAGATCACAGTCAATGATCTCCCAGTGGGTCGTTCTGTAGATGAGACTTTACGTCTGGTTCAAGCTTTTCAATTTGTCGACAAGCACGGTGAAGTAAGTTTTTGTGTTTTCAAGAGAGTTTTTGGTTTCATTAAATGTCGAATAAATGATCGCTGATGGCTGCAATGTAAGCGTCTTCAGGGTCTTAGTAACATATATAACGGAACAGCTGTAATACTGTAGAGATGTGACTGCTAGCTTGCATGAGTTGCCTTGCGAATTTTTATATGTGATATGATGTCATTAATTAAGGCATCTGTCACCGATGTATATTTCGGCCATAATTTTGTTCTTTACTTTCAAGGAGATAATTTAAAAATCATGCTTGTTGGAAGCGATTTAAGGTATGTCCGGCCAATTGGCATCCAGGATCTGAAACGATTAAGCCTGGAGTGAAAGAAAGCAAAGAGTATTTCGGGAAGCACTGAAAATGGTCATTGGATACGATTTCGAACTCTTCGAAATAGTGATTCTTTAAATGAGTGTTGAAGTAACATTGGTGAAAACGATATGTTTTATCATCCTACACTTTGAATATTAATTACAAACTCAGTGATACTAATCATCATTTTTTGTAATGATTTTACATCTCTTACCTTTGATTTTCTCTCTCTCTCATTTACATTTTATTGAATAAAATTCTGACTATCGATCACACAAAATAAAATGATATAGCAGGTTCAAGTTAAGTCCTCCCCCGAGCAGGCACATTATGGTCAATTTTTATACTGATAGTTTTTTGTTTAAATGAACTATTTGCTACAACATACTGATTAATAAACTTGGTTGAAGTCATTTAAAAAATCAGGGAGGATTATCGGTGTCGGTTGTGCGCAAATGTAATACATGATTTTTGTTACTCATCAAAGTAGTGGGAAACTGAAGTTTTATAAGCGTTTTTTCATACAAACGTTTTTCGGAGTTTTAATCACCCACTACATAATAGTTCAATGTACAGTCGAATGATATCGCCTAATACGAAGTGCTGTAATGGTTCATGGTATCACGTCCGAGATTGGTGTTAGATTTGGAGAAGCTGCATTGATAACAATCAGTAGTCCGTTACTTATTTGACTTCTTTGAAGTCTTCGATCAAAAGTTCAAAAGGAAGCCGTGTGGGATGAGAGTTTTCACAAAACTTTGCGAGATTTTTCTTTGGCAACACATGGAATGGTAATGAATGGTATCTGTTCATAGTGGCGTAACGTTTTATCACCTATTGTTTATTCAAGCTTTCTGTTGTTTAGTTTTGCAACGAGCTACTTAATGCGATTACAAATGTTACACGTGGTAATTTAGATGGAGTAGTAAAGGTTTTTGTTTCCATACCTGTATATATATATATATATATATATTATAATAAGTACTTTATCTTGGCATGCACAGATTTATTATGCTCCCTATGTTACGAAAATTTTCGTAGTATCTCAGTTAAATGGATATTTCAGGTCAAATTCTTTGGAAGATTATTGCGCAGTTTTGGTACCAAATAACATGATGGATTAGATTGACTTGATAGCGCTTTTATGTCGTACAACTTCGGTTCATTTATCGTTACAGTATAGAAATTTTGTTGACGTGATGGGACGCTAATATAAAGTGTGCTGTGCCGAGGCATTTTATACACAAGGCACGTTTCAGTATATTCAGATTGAAAATAAGTTTAATGAGATATTCTAATTAAGTCCATTGAGATGGTTTTTTTTTGATAAGTGTATTCATTTGGTTAGTCCAAACAAGCTTTTTCTCTTGTTTATTTTTAAGCAGCTGAATGTTTGATTCCTGTAAGCGTGCCAAGCAAATTTAAATAGGTATATTAATTGTCGCAAAGTACTGATTTAATTGAATAAGTTTGGTTCATTCTTATTGAGATTAGTATGTGATAGGAATAAGCTTATTTAATACACTTTGTGGTTGACATCTACTCTAATTAAACTTACTCCTTAACGAGTTGTAACTTGATTAGTTCATTTTGAAATATTTGCTTCTTGTGAAACTTTAGTCCATAAATATGCTGTTGAGGGAATTCCTAAACATTTCATAAGTTAACTTATATCGTAAAATAAAACAAATGTATGCTTATCCAAATTACTATTACTTAAATATGAAGCCGCTTTTCTATTTCCATTAAAACGTCATTTTCTGTTCATTGTTATTGTCTGTTGAGCTATTTCCATATCACGTCGTCATTTTTAGCGATCAGTTTGTAAACGATTTCGGTTTTTTCCTCTTAAAAAGTTGTACATCACTCACGACAGTCTTGCGGTTCGTCAGTTTTTGTGTTGAAAGTTACTAATATCATTAGATACCTGTGATCTTTGCAATTCTGGAGATATTTGACGTCACTTCCTTTGTAAAACATAATTAAGGAAAAGATTGTGTAGGTAGTGATTGTTGAACTATAAGAATGTAAATTTTTGCAATGATAAGGATTTTGAATCATAGTAATTGCGTTGCGCTAGCTGAAGCAATTATTGAATAATTATCTGGTAATTGTTGTCTAATTCATGATAGTAATCATTATTTTAGCTATCACTCACTATTCGACAGAAATTATGTATGCTGCTGATGAAGACAGTATGTCGTCGTCGGAAGATGTGAAGTTAAAGACACGTTTCCAAGGACAAGTACGTGTTTTTCTTTGTGTAGAGAAATTGGACATTTCGCGGAAATTTCAAATTGTTTACAAACATAATTTTTCTCAATTAGTCGTATTTATGGGATTGTGACTTATCTTGCTGAATAATTGTTCATTATTTGTTAATTTTGCTTATTCTTTTCAAAATATAAAAACTTAGTTATACTTGTTATTGTGTATCAAATTTTTGTTTTTGAGGTGTTGGTTTTGTATGCGAAAGTCCCACTGCGGATGGAAACATTTTTGAACAATTTACGAGAAGCTTGCAAGCAGACTTATAATCAGCCAATTACCGTTAAATGGATTGATGAGGAAGGTTTGCTTTAACTAAGCTAAAAGTTGATTTGAGATCTGTTATAGTTTGAAAAGGGAGAAAACTCAATTTCGAAAACGCCTACAAAAAAATTGCGATACGTTGGTAATAATGTACTCATCGAATTCTTAAATATCCATTCGTGTTAACTGCTTTAAATTCATGTTGAATTACGGTTCACTGGAAAGATATCTGGTAATTTAACACAGCTGCCTGAGGTTTTGTACTTTACACGGATGCTTATTGCATTATTTTCTAGATGAGGTTTGCAAGTTCAATTACCAGTTCATTCTTTTTCGTTTCTTTTTTCTGCTGAACTATAGAATTTCATGAAAAGTGAATTTTTAAAGCTAGGTAAGTTGCTGTTCTTAAATTTAGGTGATCCGTGTACGATATCATCTCAGCGTGAATTAGACGAAGCGATACGTTTGTTGCATGCGAATGGCGAAGCAGAACTTAATGTGCATGTGTTCCTTGGCATTCCACCTTTACCCGGTCTTCCTTGCCATGGAGAAGATAGTATGTTAAAATTTTTACCTTATTCGATTGGTTTATATAATTTATATAACTCAGGAATTTTTTTTTCAGTCGACAGGTTTAATTTAACTTATCAGCGAAGTATTATAGAATCCTTCGAACTTTTATTTCGAAAAATGAATAACATTTTTCTTAAGATCCTGAGAGGTCCTGGAATGTTCCTTGCTTCATGTCATTTATTAAAAATATAAACAAATAATATAACAGAAACGGTATATCGGAGAGGAGCACGTCGTTGGAAGAAATTTTATCACGTTAATGGACATCGTTTTCAAGCGAAGAGGCTTAATCGAAGAGTACAATGCTTCTTTTGCAATGATTATATTTGGGGTCTCGGGCGACAAGGATATCGATGTGCTGATTGCCGTCTTTGTGTCCATAAGAAATGTCATAGAGCTGTACGACAACCGTGCGGTGATGTTAGTTTTATCCTTTTTCCGATTAAAACCAAAATAAGTGTTTTTTGAATATAGATTATTTCCAGAACAACAGTGGAATGGCGGTTGTGCCATCACCTTCTGCACCAGTAATTGTACCAAAATTTAATGGAACCACGATGGATCGTATTGGACTTGATAATCACGCATTCAAGGAATCAGAAATCGAAGCTGAACATACTACTGTTGTGAGTTGGCATAATAATATTTAACTATAAAAGTAATTATATAAACGCTGTATTGCGCCCAGGATAATGGAAAATACGAGAAAGTGTGGAATTAGCCTACTAAAAGTCATTGAAGTTTGTGATATGAATTTGGAAAATAATTTTCAAATATAAACTGTAATATGGGATGAGCCAAACTAAAAATTTTTTGATCCTTCATAAGAGATAATTTTATTTGGATTTTTCATATAAAAAGTACTAATTTTCTAGTTTTAGCAACAAGGTGTAGCGGAACGTCGAGCTGGTGGTGCACCAGCAAAAAGTTCAAAATGGACAGTTTCTTTGAATGACTTCAATCTTTTAACTGTGATTGGAAGGGGTAAGAATATTTTGATTGTTGGTTCTGGAAGATATCAATTTGTATTAAGCTAGCTAGTTAAAACGTTCTTCTCATTGGAGGACTTGAAACAACGGTGTTGTATGTAAGCGCAGTTTAAACAAGTCTTAAATTGTATCTTGTTGCAACTGACCTCATGTAGTAATATTATGGTCGTACAATTTTGCATGTCTAGTTTTCTGTTTTTTCAAGTAAAAATTCAGTATTTTCAGGTTCTTATGCGAAAGTTATTCAGGCAGAGCATAAAAAGACAGGCACAGTATATGCGATAAAGATCATCAAGAAACAAATGTTTAGTGATGATGAGGTGAATTTTTGGAACGTCCCATTCAAATTTCACAGAAAATGATCCACTTAAACTAATTTTGTGGATGCATTATGTACGTATTTCAGGACATCGACTGGGTACAAACGGAGAAATCGGTTTTTGAAACAGCATCAAATCATCCATTTCTCGTTGGACTTCATTCATGTTTTCAGGTAAGTGTTTCACATATGCTGGCTTTTTTTTCATATATTATTTCTTCATTACGTTAGAAAGTCGTTTTTTCATCCATAAAGTAGAGCCTGTATTTTAGACTGATTCACGGTTGTTCTTTGTTATCGAATTTGTTCCTGGTGGTGATTTAATGTTCCATATGCAAAGACAACGCAAACTACCTGAAGATCATGCTAGGTAGGTGGCGGTTTGGTAGTTATGCATATAACTTGTTAGTATATATTTATATATTATCTATTATAATAATAATTTCAGATTTTATTCAGCGGAAATAATAATAGCTTTACATTTCCTGCATTCACGAGGGATAATCTATCGCGATTTGAAGCTCGATAATGTTTTGATAGATGCCGAAGGACATATTAAGCTTACTGATTATGGCATGTGCAAGGTAATACCACAGCTATATGAAAAATTCCGGATCATAAACAGCTTCATTA